CCGCATACTTGTGCTACCCCCAGTGCCATCCCCCCCCCTTCCCCATTTCCCATTGCCACATATGGCGGCGCTGGCTGTCACTTCCTCCACCCAGCGTGTGGTACTGACGTGCTTCCATGCGTCCCAGCCACTCCCCACTCCCTCAGCCAGCGCGCTCAGCCGCCAGCGGCATGATGGACACGCGCTCCATCAGATACACCCACTCCACTCCAGTCCTGTCAGCTCCGCATTGTGCCTCTTTCATTCCTCCACGTCTGTCTTTGTCTCTCTTTTTCAGTTCAGCACAGCTTCCTGTCCCAGTCCCGCGTGACGCCGATTGTCTGTCGGACCCCGTTCGGGTGCTTTTGTTGTGCATGCATGTGCATGTGCGTCTCTGTTTAGGAGCACGTACGTGTACGTGCGAATGACGTTTGGTTCTTTAACTGACGCACTGAATCCAAATGAAGCCTTTATTTGCAAAAGAAAGCATGGAAAGTGAGACTGAGGGCCAGAGATACATTTCCCAGGCCATCTGTTTAAAGTGGGGAAATGGGGGTGGGTGCACCCACAGGGAGGTGTGCGTGACAACGGAGAGAGTTGGAAATTCATATTTTTGTATCCATTATCGTCACTGCAAACTTACAAAAGCATACACATGCAATAACCAATACAACAGCACGTTTTCACAGGTGCTTGCACACACACACACACACACACACCATCACATAAAGTCACAGACACGCATGGTCCTACATGGTTATGCACAGTCACAGATGCAACCTCACACTTACATACTGAGCACATCCATACACGCATATTCAAAAGACACGTGCAATAAAGACATCAGCATGACAGGCACATGTGCGTTTTGTTCCTAATCATTTTCACACTGAAATTCACTCTGTACATCTGCGCACCAAAATACAGACAATTTCTATATAGCATGAATGAGAGGGTGGGCAAGACTCCTGTTCACCTTGGAGGCACATGCAGAGAGGTAAAGGGAGAGAAAATGGGGAGTAAGAGAGGAGCAGGGGTGGAGAGGCAGAGTAAAAGAATAGAAGGAGAAGAGAAATTGAGTAAGAGAGGAGAGTGAGAGGAGATGTGGAACAAGAGAGGGAGAGGAGATGTGAAGTGAGGAGAGGCAAAGTAAGAGAGGAGAGGGAGAGGAGATATGGAGTAAGAGAGGAGAAATGGCATAAGAGAAGAGAGGGAGAGGAGATGTAAAGTAAGTGAGGAGAGGCAAAGTAAGAGAAGAGAGGTAGAGGAGATGTGAAGTACCCGAATTCACAAGCTGATTGTGGTCTCCTTGTACATGACTGCGTGCTGTATTGCAGTCCTGTTGCTTTGTGTGCATTTAGCATGACTCACTATCCTGACCTCTTTGGCCTGCATAGGGTCAGTTTTCACATCACATACAAAACACTGCAGTGAAACTACCAAAGAAAATCCTTGGCTTTCATCAATAAAAATAGAAGAAATTAGGACATGACATCATTGAAAAGCTGTCCCCGGTCAGCATGGAGGACACGTCACACTCACAAGCAACCAGTCAACACCTACACCCTGCTGGCAACCTGAGGCCAGTGTGTGAGACAGTCTATTCCCAATAGAACAGAGACAGGCAGGTCACACAGCCAGTATGTGAGACAGTCTATTCCCAATAGAACAGAGACAGGCAGGTCACACAGCCA